TCGCTCCGGAGTCGAGTGTACTAAACATGAGGTCACCACGCTGTGAAAAGAGGGATTAAATTGAATACGCCGTTCTGCGAACGCTGTCGTTCGATAAAGTTTGGTAAAAAATTAACCTCTTTTAGGGCTGTTTTAACATTGCCAGTGGTCGAGAGGCAAAGAAGTTGTTTGCGTATTATTTGGGTGACAAGTCTTGGAAAACTCACCTCCACAATGTCTAAAACGTTGTCAAATAATGAATTCTTTCATTAACTGACATGGAGGCACTGTGCTTGGCTCTGCTCTCGGGGATTCAAGAGCTTGGCAGTGCGTTAAGGGAGTGTTGTGGGAACCCCCGGAGCGGACAGTCCTCTTGCCGGCTATTAGTGCGTTCAGGTAAAGTCTTCGTTATTGTGTCTGATGAGACACCTTTGGTCCGCATTTTCTCTCCCTTCCCGGGTGCATCAATGGAGGAACCTAACAACGATTATATGCTGAAGAGGGGAGGGGATATGGGGAATTTTGGCTCGAGTCCGTAGGCCGGGCAGGCTTTCTTAGCGACTCATTCTCTAGCAACACTCTAGAAAGCGTTTTTCTATAACACAAAAATTAAATTTCGATTTTTCTTGTTATAAGGGTACAACTTTCTCCAACCCTGTCTACGAATCCGTTTACCGCTCAGAAACCAGTCTGGGCTCGGAGATATTCCGCGATAAAGACCCCCCTAAAGTGGAATTCCGCAGGAGCAAAGTGGACTTTTCAAACCCAGTATACGAAGCGCTGTTAGCGCACAATGGATCGCGGAGGTCTGGGACGGTATTCTGGGGTAGTGCTGAGGACATGAATGGCGAGGCTTCGAGTAAACAAGAGACCGACTGCTGACCGGAAGAGGAGTATCAAAGCTTTTGACGGCCACGTGTCGCGTCGATGGGACCACGCCCTTAATTTATTGATATGCCCTCGAGAAGAATATGCAAGCCACGGAAAAGAATATGTTTCCCAAGCTAAAATGAAGCAATGCCATTGTTTCAAGATGAATTGTTTGCGTGCGAGAAGTTTGGAGATTTCTCGCTTGGTTTGGAGCAATGTTGGCTCAGATTGAAATGAACGTTTGCTAGCTATGTGCTGTGTTTCATTAATTTAATTAGATTTTAATTTAAATCCGGTTATTTATT